AAGTTGAAGCATTTGGTTAAATCACCGTGAGATTATGGGTTTTCATTCTAAACTTATCTTATTTTAGTATTTTATGTTTTTCTATATGATTGATTTATGGTTATGTGATTAGATTGATTAGAGTGCATGCTAGTTATTTAATCATCTTAATCTATTGCTAGCTAAGTATTTAAGTCTCGTGTAATTGCTTGTCTAAACTTGCCTGTGAGAAGATGATTATTTTTCACGTTTTCGTTTAATCCTTTAAAAAACATAAAATTAGATTACATCTTTCTAGCATCTAGAAGGGTGGTTTAGCTTCACCTATCTTTCTCTAATTAATGTTGTTATTGGATTAAATCTATCTAGTGACTAGTAGGTTGTTTAGTAGCTAGGAAATTAATTACGTATCATATATTTGGTTAATGGCTCGGTAAGGAAAGACCGAGGATAAAATACATGTTATTATCCTATGGTGAATATTTATATTTAAGTTAAGTTAATAATTGAATTGATGATCAATGACCTAATCAAAAATGAATACTAAAATTTAACCAAGGTTTTCTTAATATTGTTATTTCTAGTTATTTTAATTGATTATAAACACTTCAAATACAAAACCCTTTTTTTATTGCTTTTATAAAAATAATCGACTAAGAGAAACCATCAAGTAAGCCTCTTCCCTGTGGGTTCGACCCTTACATCCTCTATGTATACTATAGTGGTTAGGTTACTATGAGGACAATATAAATATCTAATTTGTTGGTAGAACAACGCGCCATCAAATATGAGAAAAAAAAGTGATGCAATTGATTCAACAATTTATGCAATTTTAATTATTCATATCTTTTTTTAATTTTCTTCCTAATCTTGAAGCTTATATATAGGTTTGATTGTTTGTAAGTTTATGTTGAAGTGTTTTTGTAGAGACTTGGAAGAATTATTTGAAGTTATTGCCACTTGTATTCACTTATTTCATACTAAAATTATTTTTTTATCATTTGTTCTTCCACTCCTTTTACTATTATCATAATAATCCTTTACAATTATCATTATTTTTTCAATAATTTATGTTTTATATATGTATAAATGAAACATATGTTTTTGTAGCCTTCTTTGACGATAATAGATATTTTTGTATTAGTTTGCGTGCCAATCGAGACTAAAAAAGCTTGTTGTGTGGATTGCTTATACATTTTTACCAACTTCATATGTTTATATAATATTTCAACAACAAAACCAAATCTAAGGCCAAGTTACTTGGTAATGCCTAACACACGAATTGCAATGAATATGAGACATTAAGTCTCATGTCTTCTACCTCATATAATGCATAGCAAAAGTAATAAAACCAATTCAATTTTCTTGAAACATTAAACTATTTAATCAATTTACCAAATTAACCAAATATAACATAGTTTACAAATGTTTAGCCTTTAAACTCTAACCTACACATATAGTACACATTCGAAAAACGCAGCTCGCTCTCGACGAGTAACCTCAACATCACACATGTCTTTACGCATCATTGGTTTACCTACACACCATAAGATGGACTATAAGCTAATGCTCAATAAGTGTAATCATACATGTATGATGCAAAAAAATATATTTTCATGACTTTGGAAAATATTTTCTATAATCTAGCGCACCCTATCGAATGTGTATATATTTGGCCCTCTATAAAAAACCATGATTGTGAAAATAATGAAAAGTATTAGACATTTTCCTTTCCTATGATTCATATGAAGCTCACAAATAGCCATTTATGTGAATTCTTGTGAGGCTTGTAAATCTACAAGAGTTAATCATTCTCTTATAAGTCGAAGCTATCATTGGACATACCAAGAGTATACACCGGACTATTCTCTTAGAATGCTCTATTTGAACATGTCTAGTCATGAGTCTTTCTTAAAAACCATGTCATGTCTTTTATTTGAATGCATAAAACATGATGAAAATATTTTCGTGACGTGAATGCAATCTACATGTCACATAAATATGTAACAAAGCATTATTAAGCATATCTTAACATGAACATATATCCAAATATCTTTAAACGTATTTATAAAGCAAAATTCATCGAACATTCAATCACCACATGTTCATATAAATACATAACTAGATAACTTCAATTAACCTATCCAAATTCATCCTTGAGCCTCATCTGCATTCAATTATCAATGAAACATGTAAACACAACATCATAAGCGATGAATCACCAATCAAAACACAATAAAACTTCAAACCATAACAATTTTCAATAAGCACATAAACTCATCAATCCATTAACACATTTTCACATAACATTTATATATTGTGATGTGGTGGATTACACCACCTTAGGTTTTGACTAGTCCTAAAGCTCTAAAAGATTTCCCGCTTTCTTCTTTGCTTTTCTCTCGGCCAAGGCTACCTAAATCTCTTTCTTTTTCGACCACACTCCTTCTTTTTTCCTCTTGACCAAACTCCCTCACTCTTTCTCATAGCCAAGCTTTATTTTTCCTTATCCATTATGGTTTTCCTCCCATATTTCATCTCTCGTTGTTTCTATGCTTTTTATCACCAATAACTTAATACTCCTCCCTTTTTATAGGCTATTTTAGCTTACCTAAATGGTCTAGAATTCTTCCTCTCTTTCTTTCCTCTCTTTGTCAACCTAGAAAGTTCTAGGAAACTCAAGATGTTTTCTTTCTCTTTTTATTCCCCTTTGGATGACTTTAGGAAGTTTCTAAGAAGCTAAATTTGTGAGATGTATTAAGAGATACTTATGCTTAGCTATCAAGGATAGAATCTTTAAGGTCTTAAAAGATGAAAAGTATGGAATCTTTAGAAGTTTCTAGATCAACCTAGACTAATCTAGACTAACACTTGTGTAGGATACTAATTAAGCTTTAATTTTAAGTTAACATATGTATGGGACACTTAATTGAGTTATATTTCTAAATCCCCTAAATTTAGGCTATTTTACATATTAGCCTCCTTAGTTTGTTACTTAGTTCGCTTAAATCCTCATTTTTTTAATCACTACAATTAAGCCCCTTCGTCTCCTACATACCCACATCACTTACTAACGAGCATTTGCACAATCAAACATTCATCAAAGCAAGCACTAAGCACAACGTACATATATTTAACAAATAAACACACTAAAGCATAGGAATGCTTGGGTTCGAGATATTACATTCTCTCCCTCCTTATAAAAATTCAGCCATTGGAATTTGACTTACTTGAACATATCCTCATAATTCAACCAATATATTCACATGATTCATCAAATAAAAATAATAGACAATTATTAAATACTTACATATTGATGATGTTGCTAGAGCTCGAGTTTGAGTGTACTATTTAGGCCAATAGAATTGTATTGCTTTGATACGACTTTTGTAACACCTATGACCTATTTGAGGCCAATAATGTTACCGCAATGCTTTACACTCAAAGTGAAAGGAGAAATTAAGCCTCGTCTCTTCTACCTCGTATAATGCATAGAGAAAGTAATAAAACCAATTCAATTTTCTTAAAACATTAAACCATTTAATTAACTTACTAAATTAACTAAATATAACATGAGTTTACAAATGTTTAGCCTTTAAACTCTAACTTACACATATAGTACACACATGACAAACTCGACTTGCTCCTGACAGACATCCTTAACGTCACACATGTGTTCACGCATCATTAGTATACCTACACACCACAAAGACAGATTATAAGCTAATGCTCAATAAGTGTAATCATGCATGTATGATGTAACGAAATACATTTTCTATGATTGGACGCATTTTGTCGAATGTATATATATTCGGCCCTCCATAAAAACCATGACTATGAAAACCATGAAAAATACTAAGCATGTTCCATTCTTAGCATTCCTATAAAGCTCATAAAAAAGCCATTTCGTGAGGTCTATAAAGCTCACAAGAGTTTATCATTCTTTTTTAAATTAGAATCATGATTGGACATACCAAGAGTATAGGCTAGATCTTTTTCTTGGAATGCCATATTTGAACATATCTAGCGTTGAGTTTTCTTAAAACCATGCCATATCTTTTCTTTAAATGCATAAAACATGATGAAAATATTTTTCTTGTGCGAATGCAATTTACATGTATCACCTCACATAAACATGTAACAAAGCATTATAAAACATATCTTAACATCCGTATATGAAAATAAAAAATTTAATTAATTTTAAAAAATAGAAAAAAAACTACACAACATATATTAATTACATAAAAATACTTAAAAAGCAAATAATTAAGTCATAAAAATATGTGTAATTCAATATTTAAAGGATGATTAATTTAACATTCTAAATTACAATTATAATAATTCAACGTTCACCTTATCCAATTTGGAAGAGTTCATTAGTAATAATATATGGAATATTCAATTCAACTTAAATAAAAGATTAGGGGAAAAAAAAAACAAAAAGCAAAAAAGACAGCAGGTAAAGCAATTATTACAACAGCGATTAAAAAAAAAAATCCTAATTAGTTTTTATTATCCTACTTAAAAAAATAAAAAATAAAAAGCATAAACAAAAGTTACTCGCAACCTTCTTGGCTTTTTATTTGTGATCTGAAGCTCCTAACAGCTCTTTTAAACACCAAATCTCTCGCTGTTTCTTCGCTTCCTCTCTGATCTTCTCTGTCTATTTAGTTACCGATCTCTTTCTCGCTGTTTGTTTTTCTCCAAACCCCAAATCACAATCAATCCAATCCAATCAGGTACTTGATCTGGTACTATCCTTTTACCTTAATTTCTTGTTGATCCATCACGTTTTTGCTCTATCCATGCATCTTTAATCTTGTTTATGCTCTTTGAATGTTTGGGTTTTGACATTGTTCTCACTATTTTATTTTCGTTTTATTGATATTTTCACTCTTTTTTTGTTGGTTTTAATCGCTGAGTGCATTCTTTTTTCCTTTTTCTTTTCTGGATTTGAAGTTAAATTGGGGTTTTGTTTGGGATTTTCAATTTTGGATCTTGCTTTGTCCACACTACCTGCCATGCTATTTGACCCATTGTCACGGATGCTTTGCCCATCCTGTCATGCTACTGCTACTTTCGCATTCACTCTGGCTAATGCGTTTGCTATTATGGTTTCGTTTTTTCTTGCCATCAAAGACCCCTTTTCATAAGCTGTCGAATCGGACTGGGATAAGCTTTATGCATTCTTTTCTGTTGAAGCATTTAGTCTTCTAAAAGTATTAAAATTTTCTTTTTATGAAGGCACATCCATAGCAAGTTTGTTTAGATGTGTGTGGTTGGATCAACTAGTTGGGTCCTCTGTTTTAGTTAGTCAATGCTTTGTTTATCCCTGAGTTTGTATCCTTTATGGACATATCTGTTAATGGTTGTTTGAGTTGTTTTTTGGTTGTTTATATAGTGCTGCATTTATTTACTTTCTTACATTTTTTTTCCTCGTCAGGTTGACGCTTAATCATATTGGTTCCTGTTTTGGTTGTTATATATATATATATACAAAAGCCTTGTTCTGTTAGTTTATCCAATTGGTTTTACGGTTATGCTTCCATTATTGAATTAGTGCATTGAATTTCATTTGCAGATGGCAACGCAGGAAACAGCTCCTGCCTCTGCTCCCAGTGCTGAAGTTGTTGGCAATGCTTTCGTGGAGCAATATTACCATATTCTGCACAAATCACCGGGATTGGTACATAGATTTTATCAAGATTCAAGCTTGCTAAGCCGACCAGATACCAATGGCATTATGACAACTGTTACTACCATGCAAGTATGTTTATTAGGAAATTTTCAGTGCAGACGCACTGCTGTGTTAATATGATGAAATATGATGACTTTTTCTTTTGCAGCCAATGAGCACTGCTTTTTTGTGAATCCGTTCACTAAGTAAAGCATATTGCTTGTATTCTCTAGTTAATAAATGTGAGGCTAACAAGTCCATTCAATTAATGTGATTTAGGCCGTACGGAGTGACAATGGCCAATGATGCATTAGATGTGATGTTTTTTGCATAATGTGAAAAATGGGAATAAAAAAGCTTGTTGAATGATCTTTTTTGGTTACCCTTTTTATGTAAATAAATTATTATTTGCATTACTGTCTAATCTATTGATGTTGCTTTGCGGGTATCTATTATCAAGTTTAGAATATCAGAAGCACTGCAATAAAACTGCTGGTAGAAAAGCACGTCATCCTCCTATTAAGTATAGGGATTTTTCTTAATGGGAATTGACACACTTTCAGAATCAGCACAATAACTTCAACTTAAAGGTTTGCCAATTCACATTTTCTAACTTGCATTTAGTCCATGATAGAATTTGTGCAGAGACTAAAATTTTCATGAAAGTTTTCTCAGCATTTACTTTGGGATATTTATCTGGTATTCATTATGGGATTTTACTTTATTTGTTCAGGAAACTTGGCTTTTTCTGTACTGATAACTGGCTTGAATGGGAGTGTTGAACTCTTATTATAGTTGACATAGCTTGATGGGTGGTTTTCATTGTTCTTTGTCTTGGAGCAGGCAATCAATGACAAGATCCTTTCATTGAATTATGAAGATTACACAGCTGAGATAAAAACGGCAGATGCTCAAGAGTCGTATGAGAAAGGGGTTATTGTCCTTGTAACTGGGTGCTTAACCGGAAAGGATAACGTGAAAAAGAAATTCACACAAACATTCTTTCTCGCTCCTCAGGACAAAGGGTACTTTGTATTGAATGATGTATTTAGGTTTGTTGGAGAGAATGAACCAATGGAAAACACTTCTGCTTTGGCTAATGGCATCAGCGAAAATGCTCCATCTACTGCCTTGACAGCAGAATCAGGTTGGGATGAAGTGGTAGAACCAGGTTGGCATGATATTCTTGCTCTCGCTTTTTTTTTTTTTTTTCCTTTTTCTTTTTATATTTGTCATTATCCTTAGTATACTCATTAGGAATTACACATACTGAACTTGCTTTTATATCTGTCTCCAGAGCCCACTCAGGCTACTGATCATCTTACGGTGGATCCTGCTGCTTCCTTTGAAGAGGAAGATCTAAATAATGGTGCTGAAGTTTGTGATCCTTCTGAGAAGGAGGATGGGTCAGTGATTGAAGTAGAGGTAGTTGAACCTTCAACTGATTCAACTCAGAATGAAATTCTTGCAACTGTTAATGCAGCTCCTGCATCCATGGAGGATGCTCCAAAGAAATCATATGCTTCAATTGTGAGTTGATGCTCATACTTCTATTGCACATGTTAATTCTTCTATTTTAACCCCATTCTGACAATTTTTTAACCTTAATTTTGTATAGGTTAAAGTGATGAAAGGTTATACAACTTCTCGTCCAGTCCATGTTTCTATGACTACTACGAGAGCTGCACCCATAAGTGTTGAACAACAGTCAGTTAACTCTGCAAAGGCAGCTGCACCAGAGGCTTTGGCTTCAGCTGGGGGCAGTGCTGGTGAAAGTAGTGATGTTCATGAAGAAGGTATTGTTTTCCTTTGAGTTGATAGATCATACTTTGAGAATATTTTATCATTGAGTTTGATATGTACATATTCTTAAATTATCAATCCAAATGTATTATTCCAAATTAAAGATTCTTGTGGCATGAGCAGAGTGATTGAATCTGGTATTGCCAATGGGATACCCTGTTGGCAATATTCCTCGCTTTAGAAGGAAGGTAGCATGGTTCAACTTTATTGATGGATTAGGTGGGGAGCCTGCCCCATAATGTTATCTATATTGGATTCGGCAGGATCAATATTTTTTATATTTGGCTTTCATGTGGTAGTCTGGTGGATGTTCTGATGGTTTTTGTTCTACTTTTCTGATCACATATTGTTTTCTTTGTTCTTGTTGCAGCTGAAGGTCACTCTATATTTGTAAAAAATTTACCTTTTAATGCAACCGTTGTACAGCTTGAAGAGGCATTTAAAAAATTTGGGCCAATTAAGCATGGTGGCATTCAAGTCAGGAGTAATAAGGTATGATTGGCATAACATTTTTTCATTCCATCCAATCTAACAATTATTTATGCAATGCTTATGATTATCCCTGATGATCTGCAGCAAGGATTCTGTTTTGGCTTTGTTGAATTTGAAACCATGAGTTCCATGCAGAGTGCTCTTGAGGTACTGTATAATACCTTCCTATTTCATTTTTTGTAAGTTTCTCGTGTATTGATTTAACATGTGGATGAAGTACAAAATAACTGTGGTCGTCCTATGGCCATTTTTTAGCTCAGCTAGCAACTTACATGAATGGGTTCCTGTTTCTTTCTCCAATCCTTTATCTTTGTTCCTGTACATTTGGAGAAAGGTATCCGTGTTTCATACTAAATTGATGGCACTTAGGTTTTGCTGATACTGACTCATTGGATCATGAGATCAGTGGGTTTTTTTTTTTTTTTTTTTTTTTTTTTTTTTTTTTTTTTTGGGGGGGGGGGGGGGGTGGTTGTCAAGGTATGGATCCTTGGGCCACTGTGCTTCTAGGTTCTTAGCTGAGGTGCCTTCACTTGGGTGCATTTGAGGTGCCTTGTATGTGGCCGACATTGCTGTATATAAAAGAAAAACAAAGCTAACAGTCACTTGAGTTTCCCTGATCTTGAGCAGAATTCTCTCTCTGCACAGCTACACACATGCTTACACACATGACCGCAAGCACATAATCTGTCTTATTATTATTTTGCCTTTTCTATTATCTTTTAAAAGGTATTGGTTTGTGCTATGTGTATTCTGATGCGAGTGTTAATTGCATATTCAGTGTTATCATTCTTTTCCATCGAGCAAGCTTATGCCATTCTGATACGATTGCTAATTGCAGATTCAGTTTTAATCTCTCTTTTCAACCATGCAAGCTTATGCCAAGTATTTTGTCTCTTATACTAATGTAACTATTGCAAAACAAATTCCAGGCTTCACCTATCAATATTGGGGATCATCAAGCTATTGTTGAGGAAAAGAGAACCAATACACGAGGTGAGCTAAATTTATTCATGTCCTTCAATTGGTTAATCTTTCCTCTGCTGGTTTTACTTGTCAGAGAAGTTATTGCCAAGCTGTGATTTGAAGCCTAGCTTTTATCCCCCTTCACTAATAGGATTGCATTTAGAGAGGGCTAAAACCTATATTCTGGCCTAGATGGGAAGTAGCCTAGGGGTCAAAAGGGTCCAAAAGACTAGGAGGTTATGGTTCAGTCCTAGTCAAGACAAGTTTTAGATGGTTGCTTTTAGGGTCAGGTTGTAGAATAGAGTGATTTAGGGATAGAAAAATAGAAAATAGACTTGGAAGTATGAGAAATTAATGAAAAACAGGATAGAAAACTACCAGCCTAGCACTAGTAAACTCAAGGAATCACTTCTTGAATGAGAATCCAAGCATCACACCCAAGCGTTTAAGGATCACTCCTTAATGAAAGAATCCCACTCTCAAAACGTGAGGCTGCACTTAATTCCTAGTAAATTCTCTCATACTGAAATTGAAAGACTACCATCATATTAAGTAAACTTAGTTCTTCCTACTCAAATGGGACTTGGACTTTTAACTAGGAAAATATAAGAAATCCTAAGTAAGAAACCTGAACAAGTCACTTGTTTAAGGACTATTATAATAATAAAGTCTGTACTGCTGAAATTTCCAGCAATCTGTAAAATACTGAATAGCCTCTGACTGCTAAATGGAAGGCAGCCTTTGCTGATACTGAAAACAACCTGGAAAACTTTAAACCAACTCCCAATTGAAACATCCTAGCCTTTGTCCCACAGAATTAACTCTTGGGGCTTGACTATTTTCTCCCTTTTGTTCCTTGCTTAAATACTTGCCCAAAGTAAAAGTTAAATCCCTAAGCTGCATCATAGTTTCTCCAGAGACAGGCCATCTAGCAATAGTGGTGTCCCTATTTTGCGTCAAAATAAAGCCCATTGTGGGTTAGACCCTGAAGATTCCAGAAGGGGGTGTGCAAAAGCTACAAAATGCTCCTGTATAGAGCCTTTGCTAGGCACGTACCACCTTCATGAGAGGCGCACAGCAATTAAGATCTGCTTCCTTTTGTTTCCTTTCGGGCCAATTCCTGGCTGCCTGACTTGAGGAAGGCTGGAGATGAAATGTTCAGAAACAAAACAATCCAAAAAAAATGAAAGAGGGGGAGGGGAGGGTTGAAGCAGCTACAGCAATTCCTTGGCATCATTGCCTCCTAGCACTAGGGAAGCCCTCAACCCCATAACATATGTTATCTTGTCTCATAAACCTTCAGAGCTGAATCAATCTTAACTAAGGGCATATAAAGACAAGAAAACGTCTCCTAGGGCTTGCACCATCACCACATATCTGTAAAATCGAAACTTAGCTGATCAGGTAAGAATCATATAACCACTAAAACCTAGATCTCCTTGAACCATCCAAATATCTACCAAATTCAACTTCCACCAAGGCCAGTCCAAACCTCCATTTCAAGTCTGGTCACTGCAAGCGTCAACCTACAGCAGGAGACCAAATGTAAAACAAAAAACAGGCATTCAGGTAAGCATGAGAAGAAGCGAGGATCAATACCACCCCTTAGCAGGTGGTGAGGTAAAGGAACCATGCCTAGAGGAACTAGCTGGACATAATTCACTTTGATATGCTAGGAAACGGAAATTACAGAACCTTGATAGGTGTCTGTCTCTCGAGTTTGAGAGGGAGACAGTTCAGTTCAATTTTGTATTTGCCTTCTGTTTTTGTTTTTCACACCTGCAATTATAAATAAAATGTAAAAATGTTCCTTGTTCCTGCAGTTGGAAGCAGTGGAAGAGGGAGGTATTCTTCAGGAAGAAGTGGGTTTCGGAGTGACAGTTTTAAGAGCCGTGGGAACTTTGGTGGGGGTCGTGGACATGGGAGAAATGAATTCAAAAACCAGGGTGAGTTTTCAGGGCGGCCTAGGGGTTCAACTGGACGCGCTGGAGAGGATCATCAGCGAGGTAACCAGAATGGAAGCAGAAGGGGAGGCCGTCAAGGTGGGACAAAAAGCAGTTCTGTTTCTACGTGAGCATGGGGAAGGAAAGTGGACAGATGATTTTTTTTTTGACAGTACAAATGAGGGGCATCAAGGCAATAGATTTTGTTTTAGTTTATTTTTTTTAGTGTATTTTTATATTTGCAGGTATGTCAAGAATATTACTGGAATTTTTTTTCTCTCCTCTCACTCTGGGGGCATTCCATAAAAAAGCTTACATGATATTGAAATGTTGTGGCTGCAATCATCTATTAACGTTTTGATGATTTCTTAGCCATCTCACCCCCCCAACCCTTTTTTTCCCCTTGTGTTTTGTACTGTCACTCGTGATAGCTTATGTGGAAGGGAAATGGATGTCATTAATCGTAGAATAATCTCGACACTTGTTGCGCACACAACAGCATATCTGTCATTTTGAAGGTCGATGTGGGTTTTTCACAGCACCAAAGTATCATGGAAGGAGTGGTAGCATTAGTGCAAATTATCTTAACTAGTAAATAAATTTTGCAAACGAGAATTATTTTGATTTCTGCAAGTTGGACACAAAATTTGAAGCAGCAAATGCAGCAGATCCACCAACAACGCAAAGCAAAACAACTGTGACTTGCAATGCAACCTCCCAAGGGTAATCCTCGGGCACAAGATAGACACAAGAGGGTCCTAACAGCAGCAGTCCCAAGCTAAGGCTCAACAAAGCTCCGGGGGTTCCAGGATCTGTAGCTGCTGAGAGAACTCCCAGTTCCTCTGCCTTTGAAAGTAGTCCCAGTTTCTCTATTGTTGACAAGGAGAAGCCAAACTTCTCTGCTGCTGAAAGTAAGCCTGCTTTCTCAGCTTTGGTTAGTAATTTAAGTTGCTCCACCCTTGTTAGTAGCTTAATTGGAGGTGAAGTCGCCAGTGGACTGCTTCTAGGGCCTTGCTGACCAAGGGGAAAGACATTTGTGTTCTGCGTTGTTATTAATTGTCAGAGAGCAAAATAAGAAGCGATCATGTTAAGTTGTTGATGACGATAGGTGCTACTAGTACAAAATATAAAGGCTAAAAAAAAAAAAAAAAGATGATCCCAAACTAGGCAATTAGCACTTGAAACTAGGAATGTTTAAGATAGTTGATATGCTCATTTAAATATGTTCTAAATAATAATAAAAATATATAGAAAGAGAGAATTTACTTCTCTAACTTCCTTCCTTGGCACCCTTTTGATGCCTTGAGTCTTGATTATATTTTGTGTTAGAGAACATGAAAATCCATCCATGCACTGATGGTACAAATAATAAAGCTTACCAAGCATAGTTTGGAGGAGAGGAGCAACAGTTTATAAGAGAAGAACTGACCTTTCTAGAGCTAACTGTTTTGGCAGCTGATGGCAAAGGTTTCTGGGTGGCCATGGACTTGATTAGAAGAGGTGAAGGATTAATATCTGTTATAGCTGCTGCTTTCGTAGATGAATAAACGAATAGAAGTCCTCTGCTGCCACACAATGCTGTGGACTCCATCTTCTGGATTTTGCAAAGCTTTGAAATGAAATGAAGGATAGACAACGAGTGATTGATGGATTGGGTTTTGGTGACTTGGGTTGTCCAGGTGGCAGTATATGTTTGGCTACTCGATTTCATGTATATCAGTGATTCGTTTGTCATTTTCTCCCAGCTCCTTTGATGACACTGGAGATTCTTTCGCATGGATTTGTTCGGTTAGACAGTAGACGACACGTCTCAGCTTTACATGGGTTTCAATTTTTTTTTTTTTTTTAAGTTCATTAAAAATTTGAAAAACAAAATTACACATTTTTATTGATTTATTGCTGGAAATTATTTTCCAAATATTTTTTATTTACCTTAGAAAATGTTTTTAACCAATTTTAAAAAAATGATTAAAAAATATTTTAATTTTTTATTATCAATTTATGCTAGATTGTTTTTATAGTTTTCATTTTCTTTTTAAAAGTCAACAAAAGCGTTGCGAAAGAAATAAATTTTATTGATTTGAGGAGGAGAATTTTGATTCTTTTTTCCAGCCATACCTTAAGTTGTTTGTGCCATCATTCCCAATTTTAAAATAAAATACATAAGTTTCGGGAAGTTTTTGTCTTGAGTAGTACCAAAATCCATGATACCTTGTAAACAAATTCTTCCGATTAAAAGAAAAAGACATCATTGATGAAATTGATCTTATTTTTATTTTAAGAAAAAAATAAAATGGTATTTCGGATACTTGAAAATACTTTATATTTCTATAAGAAAATGTAAGATATGTAATGGACACTTTATTTAACATGAATTCATCTATTTTGGGATTAAAAAAATACAACATGTTTGGTAATTTTTATATATTTAATTTCGTAACAATAAATCAAAACTATATGTGTGCGCGCCGTGTGATAAATTTGTATCATAAAAAAATTATTTTGACATTAAAGTTTTAGCAGCTTTATTATTGGATTTTGTGTTTGAAAATAATTTTAAAAAAATAAATTAATTGCACATATATTATTTAATTAAGATACAAATAGATTTAAAAATATAGAGTCTAATTAATTTAATTTTTAATCAAATATTGATACTAATTTATCTAAACTTGATATTATCAACTTATATATGCAAAAAAATCCCTCATAAATCTTATATATATAAAAAAAAAATCCCCCTATAAATCCTAGGTGGCAGCACCAAGATAAATCCCTATAGCTCTGAAAACCTCATAAATCCAATGTGGCCACATTATAATCGAGATAAATCTCTAGAGCTCTAAAATAATAATAATAAATCCTTGAATCTTATATAAAAAAAAAACTTAAGATTTAATGAGTGAACTATAAATTAGTCTAGTTTTGTAGAACTAATTATTTAATTATTGAAACTAGAAGGATTATTTAATTTGAAAAACTAGAGGGACTAATTTATAATTTACTCAAAATTTAATGTGTGAAGATTATTAATAAAAAAAAAAAAAAAAGAATAAAAAACTTTATTTACCCCTACCTATAAAACTCATAAGAGCAAGTCAAGCAAGGCTTCCTCGGTAATTTTAAATGAGCCACCACAACGAATAAAAACCCTAATTTCAGTGGAGAAAACCACCCCCTCTCTCTCTCTCTCTCCCTCTAAACCTAAAACCCTAAAACAACTGCCTCTTAATCTTACCAGTTCATCGATGGCAGATTCGGCAGTTTCTATAGACAAGCTGAAAGCTTTCTGGCACTCTCAAGTTCACGATGAGGAAAAATGGGCCAACAACATGGTACTTCTCTATCTCTCTCACACTCGCACAAAATTTACTAATTTATTCTCTGATTCGGTTCTTGCTTCCCCTTATTCAACAACATGGTAAGTATTTTAGCTGTTTGTATCTGTTTCTAGCAATGCGTGAATGATTTCTTTGAAGTATTAGGTCTCATATTTGATGCATTGAATAGCGGGTCTAATTTTTGTATCTAGAGAATGCTATTGGAAGACTTGTTTTAGAACTTAATTTTATACACGTCAAGAGACTAGGTTATAACAGTTTGTGTGATGTTATCTCAGTATAGAAAATAAAAATGAAGTTGAAATAAATTTAGTGTGAGATCTAGGTCTTTAAAATATGCTGTCATCCCTTTATTATAGTATTCCCATAGGTTATAGCTTAAATTTTGCACCCCAAAATTTGTTTTGCGAAGGTTTCTGACCAGTTATATTTAATTTAAGTCGAAGTTAGAACAAAATGCATGTCACATCACACATTAACAGAGGAACAAAAACAGCTCTAATAGATGAGAGGAACCCACAGGAACAGCCGACATTAGAAGGAGAAAGAAACTCTGATACATTTTTCAGTGACCGTGTACTTGATGGAGTAGCTCTCTGTTTGTAACACTGGTTTTTAGATGAACAGGTGAAATCCATAAGATTACTTGGTTCTGGAGTCTTGCAACTCTGCCATTCCTATTCAATTGAAGTTGATGGCCTTGTTTTGGTTTCCTGTATCCAGTTGACTGGAAGTTAAGGTCTTAGAAAATGCCTCCTGTATCTAGTTGACTGAAGTTTAAGGCCTTAGGTTTAATTGAAAATTATGGATTTGTTTTGGTTTTGATGGAAAGCTGTTTGTGAAGGAAAAAGCTCCCTGTTTTAAGAGCGAGATCTCCTCCATGCCATTTGGAAAAACATTGGGGAATGTCCTTTTCTTTTGCCTAAAGTAACTGAAAAAACATATTTAATCACTTCTCCAAATCTGGTTGCAGATGCCTTGTTAAGAGAATCGTAATGGCATTCAAAGTGCTTTAGTATTCCATGCCATTTGGTAAAAACATTTTGAGAATGTCCTTTTCTTTTTCCCTAAAGTAACTAAAAAACATGTTTTAGCACTTCCCCAAGCCTGGTTGCAGATTCTTGTTAAGAGAATCGTAATGGCATTATGGTGAGAAACTCCTTTTTTCTTGTTGCAGAAACTGATGCGAGCTGTTGGACTGTTTGCGGGATCTATTTTTCTGATGCGGAATTATGGTGATCTTATGGCAATATAAGGATGGATGAAGGGCTGCTATATTGCAGTCTCTTATTTCTTGCTAAATTAGTACTGCAAGCTCAGGAGGTTGGATGGGTCTTTGGATACTGTGAATGGCAGATTTTCTTGCAATACTTTCAGATTTTCTGTAGTTTAGTATTCTTACTTATGAATAAGCATATGTGCTAGATGACTTGTCTTTATTTGCACCGTTGTTTGTGAATGGTGTACAACCAATCTCATTGATTCCTAATTGTTTCTGTTCTTAATTTAATTTAATAACTCGTTTTGCTAGTACGTTTGATCTGAGAAATTATTACTCAGATGAGATCCGACCATATAATATAATAGACCAAATCAATAGAATTATTACAAATAATTATTTCTTTTTTTTTTCAGATCATCTATTAGTAAATGACATCAAGAATGGTTTTTTTTTTTTTTTTTTAAGAACATTCATAATTATAGAATGGCATAACTAATAATTCATCTATTCCAAAATGATGTGGATAAATCTAATGAAGTGTAACCATTTTTATGGTTTGGTCTATGATATTAGACGGTGGACCAAATTGATTTGGGATTAATTGCATGAAATGTTTTTCTAGTCTTGATATTTTCTTAATGTAGTCCCTTTATTTATTTATTTATTATGTTCTCTACTTTCAAAATTTTCTTAATGGTCTCTTTGATAGCTTTTTAGTAATTTATTCAACCAAAAGTGACGTGATAAAAAATATCATGTGTTATGATATGTTAGGTTAAATTGTCGTTTAAAAAAAAAAAAACTAAAAATTTATTTGAAAATGATAAGAAAAGAGAAAACACCATGTTATAAAAACATACTATGTATCTCTCTCTCTCTCTCTCTCCAAGACCTTTAATCTAACCAGAATGAACCCATTCTTTTTTTTCTTTATGTTTTTTTTTATATATATAATTTTCTTTGCTGATGAAATTCTTTCTTATTGTTGATTTTCAACCCATTCATGTTTTAATTCCTCTTTTTCTCATCTCTTCTGAACCCTAGATTTTTTATTCTTTTTCTTTTACGTACAAACTCTAAAACCCACATTTCAAATTTCTCTTATCAATATGCTTTAAAAACTATGATTTCATCATCTTCATCCTTATCATATAAAAAATTGGATGATGAAATCAATTCATCACCCTCTATTGTCATAACTCCATCTTTTGTTTTGTCTTCAATTTACATCGGTAGTTTCGAAGATGAAGGATTTTGTCCGATTTTGTAGTTTCACCATAAATATCTAAAGTGAACTATGAAAAGCCTCTTGTGATAGGTCGTTCGAGCTCGGAGACAAGGTGGATGTCATGAAGTAACAAGCATTTAGGTTTCAAGTTTTATACGTGTCTACTATGGTTTGCCCACAATGGTAATAAAAAATATAGTTATGGTTATTGTGTATGAAAGCATGATTTCATACAAGACAAAGTGAAGATGATTGTTTTGGAGATAAAAAAAAAAAGTCTTTGTAGGCAATACGAAGTATGGCTATGGTTATTGGATGTGGAAGGATGATTTTATAGAAGGCGAGTGAAGATGATTGTTTTAAAGATGAGAAATAGGCAAAGACAATCCGTATAAAGAAAAAAAAACAATGAATTAGTTTTAAATGTTTCAAGATTGAAGAATGAGTTAAATGATATAAAGTCTTTTGCTTTGGTGGAAAGGAAGAGTTATTGATAGAAATAGCAATGCAAAAGGCAAATAAAGAACACTTGATATATATATATTTTAACAAATAAAGGCGAGTACTACGACCAATGTTATTAAAATAAACAAATAATACAAGGGGGACAATCCATCCTTACCCTAAACTAAGATAGACAAGAAAACCTAACCCCAAAGATTGTGATGCAACAATACAAAATTATGATCTATATGTATAAATACCAAATTTATCATGCCTTAAAACATTACTAATGTCTCGAGGGAGGTCCTCATAACCGTAGAAAGTACAATAAGTTTTATGATAATAAGCTAAACTAGCTAACCTATTAGCAATCGTATTTTTCTCATGAAGAACATGCTTCAATGTATAATAATTTTACACGTTATAGAAATATTATATTTGATGAATATACCTCCAAGCGAGTTTACTCTTCTTATTCAATACATCCACTACAATGTGAGAGTCTTATTCAACATTCACCTACCGTAGACATAGCTATTGAA